ATATATGTAGATATAAATAAATAAATATATCTTTATATCTATATATATCTATATATATATATATCCTTTGAAGGAGTTTGTTTTGCTTGACTATGCATATTTATTATAAGGAATTTGTTTTGCTTTTCTCTTTTCAGTGGAGTACAAGGGAGAGTAAATAGATTTCTATTAGTTAAAAAATAGAGAAGTAGGGGGGTGCTACATATGTAGATTGTTATATATGCTTTCAGATGAGGTGATATTATTATTTTTACTTAAATTTTTTTACTATAATAATAATAATAGCAGTGCTTTAAAGTTTACAGTGCTCTTTACAAATATTACCTCATTTTATCCTCACAATAACCATGTGAGAATAGGTACTATTATGCCCATGTTACAGATGAAGCAGACAGGGGTAATCTGTAAATGTTTATCATATAAAAACAAAACATCAATAAAACTTTGAAAATTTTAATTTATTTTTTTTAAAAAAAGTAGGCATCTGGGGTCAGTAGTTACTGATGTCCTTTCATCCCTCTCCCCTCAATGATTATTTTTGTAATTTTCTTAATAGCCTGGGATTATACTATAGATCATAAGATCATAGATTTTCATCTATAAAGGATCTTGGAGGCCTTTTTGGTACAACCTCCTCATTTTACAAATGGGTAAATTTCGGCCTATAATTTGGGCATGGCATCATCTGGGTTACAAAGGCGGAATTTGAACCTATTCCCTGCCTTGAAATACAGTGCTTTTTCTGCTGTACTTTACTGTGTTTATTTACATTTTAATTTTTCCTCCCAACTATTATTCAATCATCCTGTACTTTCAAAATCGTGTTACCTCCAGCACAAATTTTTTCAGTAGGTACTTGGTCTGGTCCAGACAGTCTTCCCTACTTATATCTTCCTAAGTGTCGTTCCTGCTTTCTCGTGTAGCATATCATCCACAGAAGTGGTATAATCAAATAGGGTAGTTCCAAAAATATTAATTTAATTTTTTAAAATAGTAGTTCCATTGCAATTAATATTTGAAGTAATTTGCTACAGGGACACATGGAAATCCCTTCCATTTTCTGTTTCTTCATCATCCTCATTCTACTTTCATCCTCATCTTCATTCTCTTTGTATAATCTTAGTTGAGTCTAATGCTAAGCCTTCTAAAGATTAATTTTTTTTCTATTTGCTACTTCATTGTGGTAATTATATTAGCTAAAATTACCATAAGAAATAGTGATAGTTAAAACTACTGTCTTTGTTGTCATCCCTTACCAACTTCCCTCCCTTGCACTTTTTTTTTTTTTTTGGAAGTGATTGGGGTTAAGTGACTTGCACAGGATCACATGGCTAGTAAGTGCCTAAGGCTGAATTTGAATTCAGGTCCTCCTGACTCCTAGGCCAGTGCTCTATCCATTGTACCACTTAGCTGTACTCCTCCCCCTGCAATTCTTTTGCATCAATAGCTTGTTTTAATAGGTGAGATTGGAGTCATAAATATACATAGTATCTTCTCATATTTATTCTTTCTTTAAAATTCATGTTGATTTTGCTCTCTGCTCTTAAGTTGTCAGTGTTCTGACTGCACACAAACAACTGACTGCTAAGTCAGTAACCAAGAACTGATAAGATATAGTTAACTTCTTTCTCAGGTGATATTTATTCTTTGCCATATCCAGTGACATGTGAATTTTTATACAGGTATAAGGTTCTGAGTAGTTGTCTGTCCTTTGGTTTCTTTTTTTTTTTCCTAAGGAGTTTTTCCAATGTTTTTTTCTCCTGTGCTTATCCTCTCATTTAAGTCACTGAATATCAAGACATACATTGGCTTTGTTTGAGGGATCTTTTCATGTTCTTTAGTGAATTGCTATATATCATCTTTTGTAGAAGATGATGGTATATAAGCTGCAGTTATCTGCCAAGATATATGTACTTTTGGACTAACTGAATGGGTTGCCCATTTATTTTCTTGTTGTAGCCTGGGCAATAGACATTCTTCATCCACTTGGTTTTTTGCCATGTGCATTGTTAGAACTCTTGATTTTCTGTTGATCTCATTAATGAGACCCTGTCATACACAAAATGAAGAATCTAGAGGGCCTTTTGCCTATGCTTATTTATCATTAACCCTGTAAGGTGAGATGATCAGGATTCTCATGAAATAATGTTCCTTATTACTTTTAGGCCAACAGTGAAACAATTCTACTGTATCATTTATTCATCTTTTCTTCCTTCTATCTTCTGATTTCATTTATAGGAAAAATGTGGTTGGGTTGATATGATTCAATTCCCAATTTTGGTGTCACAATTTTTTGGTCATTAAAGAAAAATCTCATGTGTGGAGTGCCAAGTTTTAATGTTTACATACAGTCTAAAAATTGTGATTATTTATTCCCATTTCCCTTTACCCCTTTTGTATAAGAGCCACTGGAAAAATATCAGAGAGAGATACAAGATTGAGGTCTATTTTGTATTTATTTCATAGGTTACCATAATTGAGTATTTCATCAAGTGATTTCATCAAGTGATTACTGGTTAAATACCTCTCTGTATGTAGGTATGTTGTCCTAGGAAGAAGTACAAGTAGTCTGGTAAAGTAAGCTATTTAAACAAGGGAATATAGGACAGTGTAATGAGTCCTGTTTTTTTTTCAGTCTTTTCTCACAAAATTTATCTTTTACATCACATTAAATATTATGTTCTGAAATAGATTTTGTTCTTATTTTACATGTCTTATCTTAACTCCTAACAGACATATATAGACTTAGAATCTTTTTATCTTCTAGAATTGCATAGGATCAGCTGGGTATTTTGTTTGTTACTTCCAGAGACTGATTTTTTTCAGGGTTGTCTTGTGATGGTATCTCATCAACTGAAATTATATATAAAAATGATTGACAAGCCATAAAGCACAATATAAATATGAGAGATTATTTTCCAATTCTCCAAAATTTCTACCCATTGGAACATCTTTCCCCATTCCCCCCCAAAAAAAGACCCTAAGTTCCAGGGGACATTGGAAAGGATATAAACATAAATAAAAAGGACTTCTTATGGTATGCCTCTCACTTATGGGAACTCTACCTACATGTCTTAAATTTTTTGAAAAGTGTAAATTATATAAACGAGATCTATGAAAGAAATCTATTATCTTTAGCTTTTCTGCTATGTTCTGACATACTATATAGACAAAGTTCAGGTTAAACTCATAGGTATTAAGTATTATGGACTTTTCAGAATCATTGTAGCATTTCAGGCTTTGTAGAGACATTTAAAAATAACTTCAAATATTATTAAAATACTTTAACTATAGTCATGCTTATGGAGGACAAATTTTTCCATTATCCTAAAACTCCTCATGCAGTGACTCTGGTTCTGAATTCTATCATTCTATCTTCGGGCCTCAATGTCAAGGATAATTTTAAGATTTCTTTAATATTTTAAAATCATATTTAATTTTTAAAACAAGTGTATTTGTCACAATTGTCCCATTGTTATTGGAGAGGACGTGTCAGTAACTATCATCCTACTCCCCCTCCCCCACCATCCCTACAATGGATCCACTCATTATCTTTGTTACTTCTCAAACTACAAGAAAAGATTAGTAATATGTTACCCATGACTTTCCATCTAGGAAAAAAAAAAGTGCTGGGATGCTCCAGGAATTTCCCTGCCCTCTCTTTTAACCTCAACTGTGATAAAGCCCTGTAATGGTATGTTGGTACTGTACTTAGTATAGTCCCAAAGATACCAAATAAAGGAAAAATCAAAACAAAGTTGTATTGATCATAGTTCTTCTATGACTGTCTATTGCTATTAGTATAACAGCATGCAGAGTACAAACTGCCATGCTATCTTTATGGTATAGTTAAGTATCAATGTTGCTTGAATATTGAGATTGAAGCTAGTCAAATTTTTAAGCATATAAATAAAGAATAAAATAATTTAACTCATCATTATCATATTTTTTAATTTTGCTTATAGAAAAAATATTAGACTAACATGTAGTGTTCCAGCAGTTTGGAAATGACTTTAAAAATAGGATTTAATCATGTTTTTATCAGTCAATAAGCATTTATTAAAAGCCACATACCTGGCACTGTGCTAAGTGCTGGGCATGCAAAGAAAGACAAAAACATAGTCCCTGTCTTAAAAGGGCTTATATTCTAATGGGGAAGAAAATACACGAAAAACTAGGTACTATGATATGTGTGTGTGTATCATAGTACACAGTTGTTTGCTGTCATATAGAGAGGGCAGTAGGAAGGGAGCGAGAGAGAATGGATAGATGGATGGGTGGATGGGTAGGTGGATGGGTGGATTGGTGGATAGATGGTAACCCATGAAGTTGGAGGGCACAACCTGTGGCACAGTATGGGGGGTGGGGAAATGAGAAAAGCTTCCTGCAAAAGGCAGGATTTGAGCTAAGGCTTGAAAGAAGTCATTTAAGGCAGATGTACCTAAACTGAATAGTATTGAATAAAATGTGGTTTAAGGTCACCAGCTCTCCCTAAATACTGTGCAAACTCTTGGAATTCTGATTTCTCAAAGAATGGGGGGAAATTTTGAAATGATCCCATTGGTTGTATCAGAAAACCTAATTAAACAAAAATTCAAGAGACTGGAGAGAAGGGGAATTTATTATCTACTAATGATATAAGGGCCATTTGTCTCCACTGGAAAACCTTTGGAACAGTATTTTTAAAAATTCTTTTCTACTATTATCTAAATAGATTAGGGGTGGCTAGAGAGGAATTTCAAGGAGAGGATAGGGAGATGCTTTCCTCTCTGTCAGCCCCATCTCAGATATGTTATTGCTAGTGTCCTCTTGGACGTGAAGGGAAAAAAAAATATGTATCTTAAAGTATAAAACTTAATATTAATAATAATAATAGCATTTATATAACTTTAAGGTTTGCACTTTGTAAATATCTGATTTATAAATATATGCTCATTTTTTTCCCTTTAATGTATATTTGTCACTCTAAGTTTTCATCAAGTTGTTTCCTTTTATTGCAGCTTCCTCAATCCTGAAACGAGAAAAGCGGCTGAGGACGAAGAATGTTCATTTTAGCTGCGTTACCGTTTACTACTTCACAAGGAGACAAGGTTTCACTAGTGTTCCCAGTCAAGGAGGAAGCACATTGGGCATGTCCAGCCGCCATAACAGTGTGCGCCAATATACCCTTGGTGAATTTGCGATGGAACAGGAGAGGCTCCATAGAGAGATGTTAAGAGAGCACCTCAGGGAGGAAAAACTTAACTCTTTAAAGCTGAAGGTAAAAAACATTAATCTATCTTTTTCTTACCCCTGTTGTAAGTTCATTAATTGGTGAGTTTAATTCTTAATTTCCTTTGGATTTCAACTATCTCCACAATCCAAATTTAGCATTTTATAGAACATCCTAGCTGGTATACACTTCTGATTTTAAACAAAGCAGTAGCCATCATGTTGAAGACAACATGGGAGTACTTAGTCAGACTCCCAATGTGTAGCAGGTGGAAACTGTGCTTTAAGATAAGGTAGAAGAGACACTCATCCAATCACAGACCCCCTAGTAACATTCTATAAGCAGTTGGAACCATACCTGAAATTCTCATTGATTTTCTTACCTTGCCAATACCTAGGAAATACTCTCCTGTAGTTGTCATCTGCTAAGGAAAATGCTGTCTTGGATGTCCCAAGAGTGGTTATGATCCTTGTAAAGGGTAACTTGTTGGATATCAGAAGTCCATGAGATTACCTATCCACCAAACTTTATCCCTTTCTTTACTATTTTAAAGTAAGCTTGGAAAGCTTTGATATGTTTTCAAACATCTACTTTTTCTCTTTACCTTGCTTATCTCTGTTTCAGATATCACTGTGAAGCATTTGCCCCAAAGAAATTGACAACAGTTCAATCTAAGGGCATGATTCACAATTTTTGGCATCATCATCATCATCATCAATAATAATGATAATAATAGCAGGGTTCATTGTCAGTTTCCTAAGGAATTTCTGTATGACCCACTAGGCTTTCTTTTTCATGGTTACTTTACCACCAACCAAAGTATCATGCTTCAGAAAATATTGTTTAACATTGCAACAGTGATTTCTGGTTGGCTTTCCAATTTCCCTCTTCTCTTATCTCCATTCACATCAACTCCATTCTCCCACCCACCCCCCCCCCAAAAAAGAAGAAAATGGAGATTTTGTTTTTCCCCAGGCATCAGTTTAAAAAATAATGCACAGGTTCAGTGATATATTCTCTTTATTTACTAAGAGTGAATTAATGGTGCCTAACCTCTGTGTATGGGGAAGGACTGTGCTCTCCAGGGAGTCCTTGTTAGATGGCTGGGTTCTGTGTCCTCTGGTTCTTAACAGCTGTTATGTCTGTGATTTTTGTCTGATGCTAAATGGATTCATTGTGGCACATTTTGAGAGACGTTGTGTGAGTCATTAATGTTAGTGGGAGCTACACAGCTTGAGAACCCCGAGCAAGACTGCACATTGATTTAGTTATTATTCAGCTATATCTAATTCTATGAGAGGCAGGAGAACGGAGAGAAGAGAGACAGAGACAGAGAGAAAAGGCGGGGGGGGGGGGGAGGGGGAGAAACAGAGATAAAGAGTGAGAGAGAAAACAGCTGAAGCTTAAAAGGAATAATAATAAAAATAACACATTGTAATCGATTCCTTTTTAATTGTGTTTGGGTTGGAAATCTGAGGAAGCACTTTATTGTCTACTTTTGAAAAAAAAATATCCTGGGCGAGGGACTTACCTTGGTTTGTTGCTGATAAGAAAAGTTTACTGATTTTCCTTGGGATAAAAAAAAAATGGAAAAGATATTTAAAATTCCTACCACCTACACGTGAATGTGGTTTAGAAAAATAGTGGAGGTCTAACGATCTGAGCTTGAGCTGATTTAAAAAGAACTGATCAGAAGCCACATGGGAAGATGAATAATGTGAAAATTACCCCCCAAAAATCATTTCTGAATGTGAGATATATATAGTGTGATAAAATATTGAGGGGTGGGGAGAGTACATTGTCTTCGAATGTCTGGGGCGACCAACTTTTGCAACTTAATTATTTATATTTCAACATAATTTTATGGGGTTTTGGGGAAATTATTTTTTGTTTGTTTAAGGTCAGTCTCTTTGTACCGAGGGATATTTTCTGATTAGTATATCCAGCAGTGTGTTTTTCTGACTTTTTGTAAATTTTCTTTTACGGATACAGGGAAAGTGAGCGTTTTAACAAACTAATTGGGGTCTGAGGAATATGTTCTCAGGTTCTATTAATATAGAATTTTGATTTTAATTATGCGTTAGTGTAGAAATTGTTGAGGAATATTATTTCAGTAGCAAGGAATATATTCTTGGGTATTAGGAAAGTTTGCGTTATTAAATAGATTAATTGTTAAAAAAAACAGATGTTAAAGCATGTAGGTGTTTCAATACACTTAATAGGATGCTATATAAAGGTTTATTTACTGAACATAATTTATGTCTTGTGGTTTCTAGTTTGGCTGATAACTGAATCTGTGGAATAACAGTGTGGTTGTAATTGTATTCTTTAATTAAGTTGAAATGTTAAATTGAGCTAAAGAATACCCTCCTAGGAAATCTATGAATAGCAAGATATACAATAAGCACTCTTTTCCTAAATTTTGTGCCTTAATTTTTATGCGCCAGTGTTACATCGTGTTTGTGGAGAAATGATATCTTTTAAAGTAGAATAAAATTTCCATGAAGGCAGGACTGTATTCATTTTTGTCATTGTGTTCCCAGTGAGTAATGTATTTCCCAGAACAGATCTAGAACTATGAGGTACCTGAGACAATTAGGCCAGTCCCCTCTCCACCCCCCATTTTCAGAGATAGAAATTGTGGTCAATGGAAGTTAAATGACTTGCCCAAGATCACACATGCAGTAAAAGTCAGAGGCAGGATTTGAACCCACATCCTCTCATTTCCCATACCATTGTGTTTTCCATTGTACTTCATGACCTGATTGTTAAATAGTATAACTATTTTTAAATTGGCAGAGAAGCCATGCCTAAGATAAATATTACTAGCTTTGGTATATCAATTTGAAAATAAGAAGAAAGTGCCCAAATAGAATCAATTTGTATTATTTTATCCAGTTGATAGAAAGTAATGTTTTCATTGTTCAAAAAAGAGGCAGGGAGACTGTGTGCTTTTTACAAAATGACATATAATAATAGCATAGCATCTTAATGATGAATATTTGTCCACTTTCCACCATTCTACAGGCTGGAAGGAATCTGGTAGTATGTCATGCTGGTGACATTAGTTGTAGTCATCTTTATATGCCATAGGGTAGGCATTCACCTAGAGTGGAATTCAGAGGGTACAGGGAAGAAACCTCAGCCCTCAAAACATCTCCCCTGCTGATGTTTGAAATCTCGTTGTTAAAGAATCATTCTTTTTTGGATGTCCTTTTGGAATACAAGTGTCCCCGGGTACTATGAACAAATTATTTCAGTCACTTTCCTCTACGACTTGAGAAACCTAGTCCTTTGGAGGATGGGGGGGGGTAGGCACAGAGAAGCAGGGGTGCCAAAGACAAACTTGGTCTGCTTCCCAATCTTGCCCAGGAATATAATAATATAATAATAATTTTAAACATCCACTTTCTATTTGAACAGCCTGTCTTCCCTGGCTCCAAACCTGGGCCGCTGTAAGTCAGAAAAATCAGGCAGCTGGTGGGTGCAAAGAGAGTAGGATGTAACTGGCAAGCATTTATTGATCTTGCATTAGTACGTAACCAGTAAAGTGACTCCCACAAACTAAAAATTTGAGAAAGTCTCTACTATCCAGATGCATGTTTATATATGAAGGAGATTTTCTTTCTGTTGGGTAGGACTTCTCTGATGTTTTACAAATATGTGCTCCTATTTGAAAATTGGCACTTTACAATTGATAGCACAGATCCAAAGGGGAAAAGAGTTTCTTGTGAGAAAAATTGTGCAACTGAAATAATGGGAAAATAAATTGGTTTCCATTCTGAATGTTTCTTATTTAGAGTTATAGTCAGCCCTTAATTGTTAGTCAAATGTATCAAGGCACAATACTATATGTTTTCTGAATTAATCCATTTGGAGAGTTAAGGTGGATTTGGAATGTATTTAATTTCGTTTTTTAGCATTCCAGACATTGTCACTAAGCAGTTAATAAAAGAAGTTAATTAAATAATATCTATTTTCTCTATGAGTTTCTAGGAAAAAAAAAACCCTGTAACATTCTAGTTTTTAAATTGCAGTACTGTCTTTTTTCTTCTCTTTAATCAAATTCATTCAAACCTACTATGCACTTGGCCGTAATCAATGAAGTCATCTCTTCCAAATGAAATGCATGGATTTCTTCATCTGTACTACATTGTTAGACAAGTGTGTCAGCCTTTTCAGTTTTTCTATTTACCTGTAGGAATGTTATTTGTGTCTGCAAAATTAATTAAGCAGCTACTTGAACATTTGAGAAACCTTAGAATCATGACTGTTTCTAGGTCCAAAGCAAGGTCTTCTGTGGGGTTCTGCCCTCTTTGTCTCAGAGATTTCATTTTGCTTTCAGAGCTCCTGACTACTGTGTAAACGTGAATGACTTTTGACCCTAGATTATTCTTCATCTCAGTTCAGACTTCTAAAGTGCTTGGATGGCTACTGCACTTAGCACTTTTATCCCATTCTTCATCAGCCACTAGGAAAGCACTCTATGACCTGGTTCTCAGTCACGAATTTTTAGTGGAAACTTTGTTGCTTTTTTTTTAAACTCCTTTCTTCTCCATGTCGAAGAGGTGGTCATATCTTACCTTTACTTTCTGTGCCACTTCTTCAAATTGTGCATCTTAGGCTGTGTCCTTAAGGCATAGATTACACAGGTAGTGTGACAAATGTTGTTAATGATTCCATAGAATTTGTAGAGCACAAATCAGAATGAAAGCCATGTTGTGTTTCTTCTACTCCCAACCTTTCTGTCAGTCTCTCTTTCCCCACCCACCAGTCTCTAGCTTTCATGGCACTTTAGCCTTGGAACCCTCCCCAGTCAGAGTCCCAGAATGCTCTAAGAACAATAAGAAATTAAAGTTTGGTTACTATAGTCATTACTTCGGCCCATAAACTGTTGATATTTCTGAAGGTTTTCATAACAATCTTCATTAACACTATAAAAACTGTACCTGTACCATAGTTACTTATTTGGTTGGATGTTTGCCAGTTAGTCAAAATATTCAGTGAACACTTAATAATAGTGATAATAAATAGACAGGTGAATGAAT